TTTGATATACTGAGCAGTTCACATGGCTTTAGACAGTAGTGATACCACTCTTTAATTGGGGGACGCTTTAATCTAACTCATTACATCGAGAATAACAAACTCAAAGAGGAGTATGTTCAGGAACACTCCCAATGTCCAGTTACTACACTGATATAAGGCCTTAAGAAGACACTGAAGTACCTAGGACAAAGGGTGACATATTCCAAAGAATTGTCTTAATTATTGTACCACAAATATTTAGCCATAGAGCTCATCCAGTAGACATTCAAATCCAGTAGATGTTCAACACATACATATCACGGTCTCAAAAAAATATCTTCTGACTACTTAAAATCTTGTTGGCCACAGGTATTCACAAAATAGAAAATGGAATTTGCTGAAAAAAATAGCTGGCCTAAGCCCATCTGAAAGCTAAAACCATCTTTTTCTCTTTGGTGAATTATTCCTATAATTTTGAATAGCCATCCTTTGGTGTCTGGAACAGAAGAAACATACTTCCAGAAATGTAATCAGAAAGTCTCTCCAATTCTGGAGAATAAATCTGAAATGTGGCTTAACGTTACTAAATAAAAAACTAAAGCTGACACTTTCTAAGTTTCTTTTACCAAAGTTAACTTCCGGTTTTAAAGCTCAAAACACATGACAAAAAAAACTTTTTGTGATTGGCTGAGTCATGACTAATTTCAATTGTTTACTCTACCCAGACAGAAGCACCTTCCCTTGACCAGCTGGCAATGCCCTGAAACTTACATTTTAAGACCTACGGGTATATTTAGTTTCTCCATGAAATTCTTTCTGATTCTCCTGCCATTGCTGGCTTTGAAATTGATTGGTACCAATCTCGATGTTCTGCTTTTTTGATATAAATGCTAATCATACCCTTCTCACTACCTTCTTACTTCATGCAAATCTGGCAAGGACCCCAGCATCCAAGTTGACTGCAATCTCAGGAAGTGGGACAGGGGAGCAAGAGGTTTGAGGATTTTTCTCCTCCTTTTCTTCAGTGTAGGAAATAAGAACTGTAAGGTGTGCTGGCTCACACACATAGGTTAATGGTATGACCAGCAAATACCTGAGAGTATTCTCCATATGTCAACTTGGGAACTGAAAATTGAATAAGCAGCAATAATGAAGTTCCTTTTCACTCCCCTGCTATCTCTTCTTGTCATCGCATATAATGACTTTCAAAAGTCAGTAGCTTTCTACTACTTCTGCTAAAAATGTAAAATTAGGTGTTTACCCTCTGCCCATGACATTCCAAAGGGTGGGACTGGACCAAATTCCCAAAATAACTTGACAAACTATCACAGAAAACCAGCATTTCCATGATACAAAACTCATCAGAAATGAAGCCATGGTATTATTTAAAATAAAAATCTATTTTTCTTTCATTTTAGCAATAAGATTAAAGGCCTTCCATAAAGGGAAATCCAGGATTCAGAATACACACAATGTTTTATAACTTGATTTTTTATGCACTCCACTATGTACATGAACTTTTCATTGACACATTCGCATCCTTTGTATTTCCTTATTTTATTTGACGTATCTGTTGACTGAAATGCCCTTAATTAACTGCTTTACCTGTGTTCTTTCCCTTGTAACACACATTCCACTTATTTATTGTCAATCGCAATAAATGGGTTGAAAACTGTGTAGATGGAAAAACGAGAACAGAGCAATGCTCATTCCAATTTTAGATCGAAGAATTTATCAACTCAGAAATACTATTAACACAAATAAAGATGCTACTTTGGTTTAAAATACATATACATACACATCTATTAGCTAGCTTTTCCATTACATAGAAAAAAAATTTAAAAAACTCAAAAAACTGAGAAAAAAAAATGAAAAAATTCAAAAGACCAGTATTTAGGGAGTGTACAGAAAGGTGAAATCTGAAGCCTGTTCAAAGGCTTACTTGGTAGCACTAGAATCTATGGTTTCATTTGGCTCCTCAGAGATAACAGCAACTAATATTTTGTTCATCTTCATGCCTTAGAAAGAGTTTTCTTCCAGCATGAGACAATATAGTTGCCATCTTGACAGAAGGCAATTAAGCCTTTGCAACTCTGAATAATATCCTCTGCAGTAAAGTACAGCTTCTTAGCACCAATAAGTATATGATACATAATTATTTGCGTGTTAAGAGCAAATATTTACAAATCAGCAAAAGCTGTGTAAAGGAAGATGCCTAAATTCACCGAGACCAAAATGGTACTTCCAAAGGCTAGGTGAAAACAACAGCAGCACTTTCAGCTTTGTCTAGAAACAAATGCCCTGGAAAAGAGTGCTTTTTTCAAGCCATTATATATTGTATATTATAATAGAATCATGAAAGGACTAAAAACTGCTGTGCCTGATGGAATATGTAAGCATTTGTAGAGCAGCCTGGGTAAAAATCTGCACAGGAAAATGAGTCAAGGATTGTGGTAAAAGGGCCAGAAAAAATTAATCTCCAGATCTCCATACAGAGCAAGAATGATCACATCAGCAGTATTCTGGAAGAATTTTCTCATGTGTGAACAGTTAGGGAGAAGGGAAGAAGGCAGCCAATTCTTCTTTCACTCTCATAAAACTCAGGTACCTCAAGTAATTCATCTGGATTTTCTGATTGTCTGAAATATTTTGTGACAAACGGTCACAAAGATGATGCAACCAACGCATAACTTTTCTATGCTGAGTAGACGTCATTAACCATCCCAGAAGTGGACAAATTTTATCAGACTGTAGCAATTCTCTCTCTTGTACCCACCAGCCTCAAGGGAAGACCTCTCTCTGCCAAAAAGGTCTAATGAACTACTCATGGATGCACTGCTACACCACTCTTCTAAAATCCCACTCATTACTATAAGCCATAAAGTTCTAATTTTGACATTTTTAATATGTTACTTTGCACTTTAAAATGCAAATGAAATTACACACTGATCTGTAAGTGGGCATGATCTACAGATGTATGAGAACTGAGAACTTATGCAAGGGAGAAGTGCTACACACCTACACGCACTTGTCACCAAGGGTAGAGTGAAATAAGTGAACAGAACAGGCATAAAGTTTTCATGATCAGTCCAAAGAACTGAAATGGGAGTAATCATGTTACTGTAAGCTCTTCTATCTATCCTGTAGACTACCTACATTAACAATACTTCATTTCATGAGTAAATATTCTTTCTGCACAATAGATTCATTTGTGATTCAATGGATTAATTTTGGAACTGTGTACCTCTTGGAACTTAGTGACACAACTGGCATCTTGTGGAAAGAAAAAAAATCTTGATGAACTGCAGTTATGCAGTAAAAGTGTATTCTAACTCATTTTTGGCATATTTCCTTGAAAATTATCATTGTGATGTGATAATTAATTTTCATGAATAGCGTCCTTATTCCTTACGATTCCATCTTCCACAGGTCAAATTTGGAAACACTTCCTTCAATTATGCCTTCCTATTTCTTGTAATTCATTTCAGCCTTTAGTCCCCAGCCTTATTAATCTATTCTTTAATGCCTCTTAATCATTTCTGCCTGCTCTGCTTCTACTGCAGCAGTCAACTGATGCTTTACTGAGCAATACAATCTCCCCCATTTTTCCCATTTTATCTCCCCGTTCATACTTTCACAGTCAAGCTTCATCAACATTCTTGTGTATTTCACTATAAAGCAGTGATTTCTGTAAACTACTCTTTCTCTGATTATTAATCACAGCTAAAGTTATTTTAGGTTAACATTTCACCACAAACCACGCACACACAAATCAACATTTGCTTTCATTTTTCCCGTATCTTAAAATATAATCCTAACGTGATATCTGTGTTTTTCAAGTTTTTTATTTTCATTTCTGTGATGCTGACAAAAAGTATTATCTTCAGAGGACAGAAAATTATAAATTAATTTTTATTTGTGCTACAGAGGATTATTTTAGAAAACACATTGTGTTAAATTTGCATATCACTCAGCATATGCACTGATGCTCGAGTCCTGTGAAGGTATGCTGAGTCAAACTGGGCATGTATTTGTACCACTATATAACCAAGGATGAAAACAGAACAGGATCCACAAGGGCTTATTGTTAATTAAAACACAGTTACAAGAGAGATCCTATGAAAAATGCTAGAGATGGTTTTATGTAAAACATTTGGAAAAAAAGAGACGGGAAATGTGGCAACAAGGTGAAGAAGTTCTCTCTCAATTCCCTGTAGAAGTTCTATCTTTAAAATGTTTTTAAAATACTTTTCAGACAAAGAAGCTATTTTTTCCCTATTCCTAACAAAGTTTGGATTTTGGCAACAGACAGGACATACGCGAATAGAACAGGAACCACAATGTATCTTTAATAGATGTGCAAGACTTCAGTCACGTTTCCTGCTTTTTGTCAACATGCATGCTTTGAAAATTACAGATCGATTTATTAATGGACTATATGTCTTGCATGTCAGTGAGGTCCATATGGCTTCAAAAGCATAGCTAATGGTGTTTTGTTTTCAGCATCACTTTGAAGGTTGTTTATGTTTTCTTTTAAATGGACTTTATGAATTAAAAGGGAGATAAATCCTTGTCTTATTATAGGGAAAACCAGCTTAATTTCATTTCAATTTCAGGCTCAGCTTATTGCCTGAATTTCAAAATCTGTTAATAATTTTAACATTGTATCAGGACCTTCAAAAACACTCAAAACCTGGATGTTATAACATTACTGAGTGCACAGGTACCTGTTGGTGTCCCAAAACTTCTATTCACTTCTCAAAATTCATACACCATCTTTTACATCTGTTGCTGATCTAGATGAAGAACTCTTCAACAGCATATCTCAAATTGCTTTCTGTGTTTACTCAGCTTTCAGTCTCTGATGTAAGTGAATTACCATTTTGAAAAGGCCGAACTTTATAAAAAAGCATTTTTTATAAAGTAGTTACCATCTAAATAAATACACTTTGTAAAATCTTGCTGGTGTCTACTTATCTGACTAAAATGTTTTGTCGTTTTTCTGTATTGAGGCTACTTACGTTATCACACAGGAGGCTCTTATTTTTGGTGCCTGTTGCATAACAGTCACAGGGCTTGCAGACATCAACGGCTGAAAGATCTGCACCTGCTTGTCTGTAATGGAAATCCTTGCACAGCTCACAGTTCCTTCCTGCATGAAAGAAAGGTTATGCATTATGGCTTCCAATTCATTAAAATTAGCTGTATAATTCAAAATTAAAGACTCTATTCCTATGAGAGAATTCTATAATTTTCAGGACGTCCATTTTAATGCACCTTTCATCTCTACCTGCCAATTTAGTGATCCAGAGCATATGAAACAATGAACCTGTTACAAACTATGTTTTACTCCATTAAACTTCCATCTGTTATATAATACCACACTTATACAAAAGCTGTGCCATGCAAATGCCCATACATTTTTTGGAAAAATTATCGTTGAACCTGAAACTTTTCTTTCGTCCCTTTACTAGACAAAGCCAAGTAAACTGAAATAGAGGAGAACTATTAAAAAAAAGTATTCAAATACACTACTTACACAGAATAGAAACCTTTACTCAATAAGAAATTAACATGTTATCTGTTAAACTCGTTCAATTAGAAAGATGATATTCTGGATTTAAATGCTCTAGCACATATAACGGAAACAGCTTTGAAACTATATGTTCTAATTATTTATTAGAATGGGGTTTGCACTGATTTTATACAAGATTGGATCAAATTTCAGCGGTATTTTCCTTTTGCTTAAGTATTGACTCAATTGTAATTATCACACTATCTGGATAGTTTAAAAATGCATATACGCAAGAATTTATTGGAATGTCAGCCATTAAGTATTACTATTTACAGTGGACACAAGACTTAGCCAAAAAGTGACTGTGTAACAGTCCATTCTCTTTTGTATGACTTACCAGCAGTATTGTGTTGACAGTTATCACACACTCCACCGCTGCCTCTGTAGTATTCCTGAGGAAAAGGGTCCATTGCTAAGTCATAGTGACAGCTTACTGCATGGCTGTAACATTGACAAGGTTTGCAATTATAGGCATGAACTTGGTCACCTGATCGAAAAGGCTTGTCATTGTACAATGGCAAACAGCGATCACACTGAAAGAAAAAAAAATAATAGTAAGAAAATATTATTTCTTTACCTTACAAGAACACTATCATACTCTTTATATTCATGTTTTGTTCTACGTGTTTTCTCCAATTTAAATATTAAAAACATTGCTTTTAGACAGTAAGTGAGAAAGCATATAGGGAAATAACAAAAACATCTCTTTTTTCTTTTCTTATCTTTTTCAGTTACTTTAACAACAGATTAAAATCAAGGAAGAATAAATAAAATAGATACTCGACACAGGCTAACGTCCCGAGATTCAATATTTAGTTAAACCACTAAACATCCAAAATGGTGCCTACTGGGTTTGAGGCACAGAAGACATGTTCACCTAATGTATCCACTTGGATGCATTTTAAACAATGTCTGCTACTGCAGTTTGTAGTATTATAGTAACTGTAGTTTGTACAGTTACAATTTGACTTTGTGAGTGAAATAAAAGAACTCATGGCGAAATATGTGATGCTGTACAGAGTATATGAAATATCAGCACTTCTTAATGTGCAAATGTCTCATGAAATTTTCAAGAAAAAAATTTTAAACAAAATACACAAACCTCTACACATATTCAGTTCTGTGAAGTTATACTTTAAATACAACACCAATGCAATTCTAAGATATGAGGCACATTGTTTAAATAACCACTTTATCTTATTTTCTTCGATTCTTTTCAAATTTATTAGATACAAAGACTAATGATATCCAAGGACTCAATTAGCTTGAATCCAAACCAATAAAAATATTTTTAAAGTAGTTCAGGAGCACCTCAGAAGCTCATTTTTTATTTGGATGAACTCATAATATTACCTCCTAATCAGAGCTTTGTGAAGAATGTGAAGTTGCAATAATCTTCGGTTCATAATAAACTCTACAAAACTTCAAGGAGAAAATTTATTGTGCCCACTGGTTCATAAAGAACTAAAAACAAATTGGATTTCTGAAAGTTAATGAATGGATAGCATTTTGGACAATTACATTCTCTTCATGAAGAACAATACAATCAGGTTTTATGAAATTGGCTCAACGAATGTTGAGACTGGAGAGATGTTAGTTGAGACGAATTTTTAAAATTTAACTGGCATTACTGAAACTCCATTCCCAAAATACTAGTGCCTTGCTGGATCTAAGAAAAAAAAACATATTGCAATTATAATTTCTATTTTTCAGAAGGACTTTAAATGCTTCAAAATAAGTTGCTTTCTGTAAAGTATCTTGGCAACTTCTTTATTCTTAAGGTCCCGAAGAGCGCTTATCTTTCTTCATGTCTACTATTGCAAGCACTATTATAATTATTTAGGCCCAGTGTGCCTACATCACCTATATGCTGATCATTAGGAAACTATAGTGAAGTTTCTAAACTGTTTCACTCACAGTTGATGATGTACTGATGAGAAACAATCAGCTGTGGGTAAAATGAGAAACTGAATTAGAAACATAAGCTTAAGATAGTCTAAGAACTGCGGAGCAGTCACAACTCATAAAAAGGCAACTTGTGAGAGAAAATGAAAGAACAGGAACTTCTCTGCTGAAATTTAGTTTTAATAAACAAAATTAACAGTAAGAGGTATGATAACTATATCCACCGCACCTTTTTTGCAATCTTTTAAAAACAAAACAACAAAAAACCACATCACCACCACAGTGAGAGAAAAAGAGGTTTCAGGATGAAAGTTAGCTGGGCTTCACTTGACACCTTGAACTCTGACCTTTGTTTATCAGAAGAATCACTGTCTAATCATGATTAGCTCAGTTAAGTACACAGGGAAAGGCCTCGACCGTATCTGTTACACAAGTTACACAGCTTAAACTTCTTCCAGTCCTTCGCTCATTCACATCCATCTTTTTTCTCTCTAGTCACTCCCTTTGTCCCTACGTCAAGGAAAATCAGCATTTCACAGCACCAGCAACATGAGACAAGTGTTCGTTCAGGCACTGCACAACTTGGGAAGTGCTAGAAAGAAACCCGAGCTCCCAGCCAAAACACCCCACGGACACAGCTTCCTCCTCACAGCAGAAATACATCCTCCTTGAAAGAAAACCACTACAGGAATAGCTACCTACCCGCCAGCCCTAAATTTCCATTTGTCAATGGCCAGACACATAGCTACTGAAAGCATTCATCATTTCGTTTCAGATTTAATCTTAGATCAGTTACTCATGCACACCTGTGCTAGCACCTACTGTTAAGTGACACACAAGCACTAAAGAGTAACAGATAGAAAGATGGCATTTGATTACATAGCACAGAGTTTCTTGAACTATCATGTCACTTGTTATATGGCTTTTAAAACTTCAACAAAACTTTTTAAAAGCCTCAGCAACACAAGCAGTCATTCAAAAGTTGATAATGACTGTGAAACAATTGCTGTTCCAGCAGTTGTCACACCTGTATGCATTAAAACCGTGCACTGGACTCTCACCTCAACCTCAACCTCCTGAGTTTGTCATACCTTTCTTAGGTTAAAAACTGCATTTAACTTTCAGACCTGCCATGTTTAACTTTCACTTTTGGTAGCATCATGATGTACATATGGCAGTCCTCAGGTCTTCATTCACCAAGTGTAAACTCTGCATTTGCCCAAAGCATAGTTATTGAGATTTTCAAAGGCTGAAAATGTTGAATGTTTTAGAACTTTCAATAATGTTAATTCTTGACAAAACAAGCCTTTCTCCATAACTGTAAAACCCACAAACATGCAGATGTTCTTATACTTAGTTACACCTAGGCCCTTCAGAAAATATGTTAAATACATGGCTTTCACTATGGACGGTATCAAACATCTCCTCTTGATACACAGTATCTGAACTGTTCACCTTCTGTGAAAACATTTTCTAAGAAAGCATTACATGGAGTCAGATGGTCAAAATACCTAGCTCATATTGGCCCAATGCATTAGTCTTAAATTATGATTAAGACCTTATGTCCAATAATGAACTCAGGATATTTTAACTAAATTATTACTAAAAACTTACCTTCTCAAATGTCCTAAATCCAGCGCACTTATGGAAAGATCACGAGTGAGTTTAGCCTAAGTCTTTATGTGCCAAGTTCCTTATTAGTCACTAAGAATGCTGAGGACAGTGCCTCTGAAGACACAGTCAACAAATATTCAAAGAAATATTTTCGAAGGCAACGGTAACAATACTTTAAGACTTGCAACAAGTCATGATCAACTAGAACCTTCTACTCCAACACTTAAAATATCCCACTGCTTGCCTCTGGGTGGCATCCTTTTTTTTTTTTTTAAATGTTACGTTCTGTAGATTTTATTCCTCTTTTTCTTTTCCTAACCTGAGTAGGAGTTCCCATCTCACACCCCTCAAAGGTCAGTTGCAATAACCACTGTACATACACACCTATAATATACATGCTTCTATAATATACATATGTCATTAACAGTACACAGATCTAAAAATCTGCTAAAGTGATATCAAGATTAGAATGCCACTTTCTCAGGCATTTCAAAATGCTGTCTTGTCTTTGAAAAACTCCATTATGTGTGTCACCCAACCATGTTTACTTCTGCTGTCCTGTAAGTGATGACTATAATAGGATAGGTAATCACATACTACTTTTTCCTTCCTACAAGACACCAGTCTGTACCCAAATGGACCATATGATTTTACTCCATTTAGCTTGACTAGCCAAATAAATACGGCTTCTAGGCAATATCTATCCCAGTGTAGCTTAGCCCTGCTCTGATGACAGTTGTCTTAATTTTCCCAAAGCTTTTCCTCAGCACCCTCACTAGAGTATTTCACGATCTACCAAGACCGCATGTTAGCAGAGCTTTGAACCATATCTGTCTCTTGTGAACTCCCCAAAGACTCAAAAGCCTTAAACTCAAAGACTTCAACTCTAAAGCCAAGTTTTGTTAAAAAAAAAAAAAACAAAACTAGAACACTCTAAGCGACTCCAAGTGACTAAGGACGACAGAATAGAAATGAAGAGTGTCTTATGGGGTCCCACTGTAATACTCCACGTACCTTAAAAGGATGCCACTTAATTTTAGAAACTAAGCACAGCTGTAACAGATGGTTTACAAATACCGTATGTCAAATAACATTCTGAGAAAAGATGCTACACTGCTTTGCAATGGCAAAGTGACTGACAAAGAACATAAGATCTACTATTCCAAATGCCAGATTCCAATAACGGGACACAACTGAGATCTCAAACACTGGCACAGATGTCAGGCAGCATAAGATACATTTCTACTCTACTCCTCATTGATTTATGCTTTTTTAGTGAAGTTATACAAAGCCACACCAAGTCCTACGAAATCAAAGCGTATGCAACCACACTAATTCTGACAATCAGGCTGCTCAGTAAATTAATTCACACTTAAATTCTCCAGGACTAAAATTCAAAGCTATTTTAAAATGAGGCATCCACTCCATTTAAATCTCATTTAGACTCCAACCCTCTAGGACTTCTGTAAAATAAAAGAGAGGGAGAAGGTATGTTTCGCAGCTAATGAGTTTGGCATGTGCTCTGTTTTACCAAAGCTCTAACTTGCTCAGGATTTTCAATTGTAAGAGATCTTGTGTTTATTTTTCCCTCTTTCTACTTTATCTGTTTGGAATAAACCTCTGAATTCCATTCTCCTGTAACATTACAGAATGCTGTAGTCACAGTTACTAAGTATTCTAGCACTAATTTCATTCTTCTGAGGAAGCTATTGCATGGGATTTTTTTTTTTTAATAATAGTTTTAGTGGAGTAAAAGAAGAAAAAAACCAGATTAGCTAAGCACTTGGGCATTTCTATGGAATATGTGAAAAGTCATAGAAACCCAATAAATATATGTGGCATTATGATTTACAACAGCTACTTCCAACAACAGTGAAGCACCAGTCCAGTTGTATCTCAGTTTTCTTTCAACATTATATGAAATAAATATCCTGCACAGTGGATAAGCCCCTGAAAAAAATTTTCAGACTGGAACAGCCTTCTTAATTTCTGAGAGGCAACAATGACTACCATAATGCTCGTTGCCATCTGCCTGCCTCTTAAGTAAAACTTACAAACACCAGATCAAAATGTGTAAGGAATAATGACTTCACAATTCCTTCAGCATGTCATCACCTGTGCAACAAATCACAAGGTATCTGAGACTGCAACAAGTTCTGTCAGTATTTCAGCAATGCTTGTACACAAAGTGTTTTAGAAGCCCGGATCTTTGAACTGTGAAATTACACTAGTTTTCCAGGGATGTATTCATGGACGAACCCGTAACTTCCACAGACACATCAAAAGTTACTTAAAATTTTCAGGCAGGTAAGACTACTGGACTAGGTGTCTTTCTGCTTGCTGCTTTCTAAAGCTCCAGTCAACCATCTGACCGTCTGATTTCCTTTTTATTTATTCCGATATAACCAGCTTCCACCCAGGCCTATCCTCTGAATACCCAAATCATGGCACAGAGCTTACCAAAAAGTGCATTTTTTGCTAGATTGCTTGCTTCTGCAAGCCAGAACGTCTTTGTTATTGAGTGAACACTTACTACAGTTCATACTTACAGCTCCTCAAGTACTAAGTATCATTAATTCCAACATCTAACACAATGATACAGATTGACCTTTAACTAAGATTTAGATAGATTCTTCTGTAACAACACAAAAAGCCTTATTTATCCAATTCTTGGTAAATCAACAATGCCATACCCAGTTGTCAGACAGCATATGTTTAAGCCCATTAACTATTTGCATGGAAAACTCTGAAGACTTGAAGCCTTTACTGTATCCAGTGACCCTCTTACTTCCATACCCCCTCAAACATTTATCAGAGTTGCTTTATTTATTTTAAATTCTATTTTCCATTATTATTTCTATGATTATTCCTGTATATTTCGCCATTACCTTTCTCTATGAAGTTCTGTATGACTGATTTAAAGGAGGCTCTGAGGTTGTAAGGTAAGGCTGACCTTGTTTGATTGTTGTCTTTTTTTATGGGCTGTTTCCAGTTTTTCACGTGACATCATGGAAATTTTTCGAACATACTATTACTAATGTCTGTAAATTAGTCTTTGCATACAAATGTTACCAAAATCTGGACTCTGCTCTTGATTCCTCAGTTTCTGTTTGTAAGACAGAGCTATTTCCCAAAGCAGGACACAAGGCATTCACACACCAACTTGCAAACGAAGAAGCTGAACATTTTTTTCATGAGAGAAGTTCTGTGAGGATTTATTTCATCTTCTTTCTTAATCTGGTCCCTCTACCTCTGGAAGTCATTCTTAAGCATGCTGTTTTTTGCATTATCTCAAGTTTCACATATTTCTTCATCAAAACAGAACTCAAAAAATAAGAAATTCCATTTGATATGTCAAATTTCGTAACATGGAGATGCAAATAATTAAAGTAAGACTTCCATTGTAAAGAATTATGCAAATTTTTAGTTTCTGGTATTGCTTTGCTGCACAACAGCTATCCAGATGTATATGCCAGATAAATTCAAGATGCTAATTCTAGTTGTATACGTGTAAATGTGACAAGGACATACTCCACCATATGTTGAGAGTTTGTCAAGGTATCTCAGACTTCTGGTCCAAGATACCAAAAAAACCCAGAAACCTTCTTGTACCCTGCTCAGTTGTGGTGACTTACTCACTGCTAGTACAGGACAGAAGCTAAAAAAAGACTGTTTGCTGACAGTGCAATTTTTTCTCAAAAACATTTGCCCATACCTCTCCCCCCCGCAAGTTTATACCTGTAAAGTTCCTTCATCAAATGCTTAATTGAACCCCTAATAAAAATAATAACAACAATAATAATGCCTCATTCACTGGGGTGGGAGCCTGAGAAACATAGCTGTAAGTCTTAACAGACAGGGTTTTATCAATGCCATTGACAGCCAAAAAACAGGGCAGATTTTGGTTATGCTTTCAAGTTTTTGCCTTACAAAAAATCAAAACCTTTGAGCTGTTCAGATTTCATGTAAATCCTTGATAAAATTCAAAGTAATTAGTGATATATTTGCAAATATTAATTCTATTTTATTACTACTTCCACTTTACTTCATATTTAGTAGATACTGACATGTTCATTAAAGAATGAGGAAAATAATTAAAAAACTTCCTTATTCTATTCTGAATGAATATGGTTAATTCAAGCATTTCAGTTATATAGTTACAACACACACATGCTAAATCAAAAAAGTGACACTCACTGGAACAACCCATTAACATCGATAGAAAATATCTGATAAGGCAGATACATCATTAAAATGTATCTGGTTTGTTTTCACAAGGTAGCATAAGTCTTGCAAGAGTGCTTGGTGAACTTCCAGATCTTATTAAATATTTATAATTAATGCCTACAAAGTAACATTTCACAATGTGTGTTCTAATTAAAGGGACATTGTCAGTTTGAATTTTTTTTCTAATTTGACCCATCTGAAAACTTCAAATTTCTGTTTAAATCCCATTTGGACTGCAGATCCTACAATTCTTAAAAAACTAGAAAACTTCAATCCTCTATGAAATTTTTCAATGATCTTTCACATGATCATAGGCACAATATCAAATGCGCTCAGGTTAATGCTTCTTGCTCTATTCTGGCAAGCACAGACTACTTGGGGAGTTTTTGATATAAGATTAGTCTCCCCTTTGCTATCACTGTTGCTATTCTGTAACCCCCCCTTAATTTTTAGAAAGCCTATTTCCAAAAGGCATAAATGTAGCAAGGAATACAACATTTACTCACAACAGAAGTCTAACATTGGGTGGGATTCATTCCTTTGATGTAACTCATTCTTTCTTAACCTCAACTTCTTTTTTTTTTTTTTTCTAGTAGATAAATAATTAATCTAGGGACAAAATATTTTCTATTATTCTAATCTCTCCTCTACATATTTCTTTAGAAGAGCATGAATTGTAACATACATCCCATTTGGTTCTCCCATGGCCAAGGATTATAAAACTAGTAGGAAAATAATAATTTTGCAACTTGATAAGTTTCTGTTATACACTACTCTTTACAAAAACCCTCTTGATTGAGAAATGCTGTTATTAAGAGCGGAGCAGAGCAGTAGTAAGAATATATTTTCTAGATTGCACCTAGTTTTTTTTTAATATTGCCTTTTAATTAATTTCAAGAAATTTAACCTCAATATCGACTATCTGAAAATAAAGAGCAGTAAAAAGTAATAATAAGGTTGTCCTTTTATGAGAACAATCATGTTGCTACTACAGATTATTTTAAAGATAACCAAACATCATATATGACTGTCAAAAAGTATGGGAAATTGACATTCCAGGTTGTCCTTAAATAAGTAAGTTCAAAGCTCAATTTTCAATGTTTTAAAAAGTCACTAGCCAAATCCCTGGTTTAGCTCAAAATAATTAATAAGACCCCCAAGAAAATAACTTCCAAATAAATATGTATGGGCGTATCTCAATATTTTCTTAACTGTGCTTAACTGTGCAAGAGACATTCAAAAATCGATTCCAAAATGTTTTTACTCTTCCTATCTTAGACACATTTTGTAAAAAAACTGCTTTAAAAGATCTTATTCTTAGCTGAAGTCAGAGACTGTGACCTATGGGTGTCCCAGGCACCTACAGATGTTACAAGTATCAAAAGATAAATCTATACTAGTGTTTTACCTTGGATTAGGCATGCAGTTTTGAAGCAAATCTCCAAATTTTCTGCATTTACTGTGCTTTGGTTTGCATCAAGCTGTCTTGGACTGCTCAAACTGTTCCCTTTCAAATGAAATAAATTGGATGCTGAACTCTTGGACTGTGCCTACTGTACACCATCTGCTGAATGGGTCTAGAGTGCATAGGACCAGGATAAAACTACTGTAGAATGGAAAAAAAAATAATCCCTGAAGCACATCTGCTGTGAATGTTGGGTCTTTGTTACCTTTTCACTCTACATATCATTTGCTATACATATTAGTTGCTACAGCAGGTAGAGTCATAGTCTGTATTAGACGCTGACAGTCTACATTCAGGTTTGCATCTAAAGTTTGAAGGGGGAAACAACAAGAAATCAAATCCCTGAACACAGGACTCCTAATGGTGAAATGGCTTCTGGTGCAGGGGTGGGGCAGGGCAGGAGGACAGTTTTGTGTGTGCTTAATACAACCCTGCTATGGAAAGTTTCCCTGTAACAGCTAGAACAACACTAACACACACACATACACAATCTTTCCCAGGACTAAAATCCCAATTTTGAGGCTGTTCACAGGTGACAGAGACAGACAAAGGAGGGACTAACATTATTTCCTTCTGTATAGCTTTCATTGACGCACAGGCACCTATACGGTTCCAGAGCTGTGTCGCAGTTATCAGCATGGCCATGGCAATTACACCTGTAAGAACAATAGGTAGCAAAGAAGAAATTCAGACATGGAAACACATCTGTGCAACAATATATAACACGGTCACAAAGACAATTTTGTGTATTACATAGTCTGGTTCTTTATTAAGAGCAACATCTCCGAAGAAAATGTTGTTAAGTGCAGTAACCTACAAAAGACTACTTCACTCAGCGTAGTTTTAAGTATCAACAATTGCTTTCCAGGAAAATAAAAACCAGCACGTAGTAGAGCTACTGTTGTCTTATGTAATATGTAATGAAAACTATATTTCAGTATATAACATTAACATGTAAAACTTTATTAAATAAATGACAATTATTGATCAATATTTAGCCTTACAGTGTGGCTATAGTTTTTCAAGAAATCTTAATCATATCAAACATAATCTTCTAGTTTAACCCATTTTGATCTCAGTTAAATTGTCCAAATCTCACCGAAATAAAATCTTTATAGAGCATTAGCTAATAGGCAATAACCATCCTACTCTACCTGAAGGGCTGCTGTTCTGGAAGAATGGCACAGCTTTGCAAACTACAGCTGAAATTACTGTTACCTAGTCACCAAGATTGTAGCCGTTTCAGTAAAAGCATTATCACAACACATGTAAATAAACAATCAAAACATATTAGTAGTGTGGAAAATTTTAAGGTAAATGTGGCCTCTAATGGGGTGCTTCCTCTCAAAATGAGATCTCACTACCAAAATAATTTCAGGAATGATACTTATTAACAAAAATCTGCACCATACGCTTCTTGGAAACTATTTCATTGCCAAATTTGCATATTATTTACAGGGCATAATTAGTCCTTTCAGAAGGCAGCACACTTATATACAATAAAGTTGTCAGTCACAGATAATGTAACACTTTTACTGACAGCTGCCCAGTTTTAAATGGAAAACTACAGCTAAAACAAAGAATGAGTTCTGCATTAAGACTTAAAATTGCCATGTCTGGGAATCTATAATGAAACTTGGAAGAGCTACTGAAGTAAAGCAAAAGTCATGGTTTCAATCATAAGCCATTGCTTAGAGGCATTGGTAATTCCAAGGAAAGGACTGCTTTTGACAGATTTGTGCAATAAGTATAATTAATTTTAAAATAACATGTGAGCAAATGTTTTAAAAAAACAGTACACCAATCATTTCAAACTTGATGCACTGCTTCAGAACAAATTCCCTTCTCATTCATAAATGTAAAAGCAGAAAAACTTCATTAAATTTTAGGCAGGTCATTATATACTTCGCACAGCTGTATTAGTCAGAGGCCGTGATGGGTGGGGGAAGAGTTCCATAGCACCTACCTTCCGCTGACTGTAACTTCATTAACTCCGTAGTATCTATGCCTAAAATTTACCCAAGACTCATTAGTATGATACTGGCCACGGAGATGAATCCTCACTTGTGTAGCTTTTACAAATTCTTGGAGAGATGGAGTATTGTAAAAATCTTTGTAACCAGGTCGTTGATTTGGTTCCGGGGTAAGAATACTAAAAGTTAGATTACCACGGGAATACGGTGTAAAGCTGTTTAAATAGAGAGGAAGACAAGTCAAAATCAAAATATCACATATTTTACAGATTCTATCTCCTAACACACTTTTTCTCAGAGAGAGGGTCTCCACTTCACTGTACATAGGGTTTTTTGTGGTTTCTTATGTCAGTGGATTCCCAGTCACCAGAATTCAAGCAGAGGGAAAGAAATGTCTCTATATGTCTGTTTTTCCCCAAACTGCCATGCTTTTCTCCAGACCCTATGTTTCCAGTTAAAAGTAAAGCCTCTAAAAGGCAACTTCAAAATATGAATAAAGTGTGACTAATACAGTGTCATCTGCACTAAGTTTTCAAAAAATGTAACACAGTGTCTTTGAGAAACACAAGGAAATTATTCAGATGACTAAAACAATAAGTAACATGCCCATATTGTTAATTATATACCTACTAAACACATATAAAAACCATACAGGAACAATTATATTTTGAATTCCAGAGTCGTTGGACTGTATCATCTCCTTTGATGAGTGAGCAGTTAGCAACATACGCCACCTTCTAGTGAGTGAAGTGCAAGAGAATTTAATTGAATGTAGCAAGATTGAGAGTAAAACTGCATATGTAAGCCAAAGAAGGGGAAGGAGAGTCCTAAGAATTTGAATAAAGGCTGAGTAAATAAGTATATATAAACTGCACGTTTGCACAATTTGGCATGAATCATATATCATGTTGGTATATTTACTAGACAGAGTATAGCTATTAGTAGAACTTGTGTCTGCAAGAGGCAAGAATGCCTCCTTATTTGCACACCTACATGTCCTCATTATAAACAGGTATCCCATGGTATCACCTGGCACCTGACATACAACATTCAAAAAATGTAATTCTCCTCACTTCAAACTATCTCTGAGCTTCTGAAAGATGAGATTCGTAGTTAGACGAGGTCTGCTGAGTCACACTTCTCTGTCTTCATGAAGGATCTTTGAATGTACTGTGCCTCTATCCAGGTCAGTGCTTCACAAAAATCTCAGTGGAATACATCTCTATGCTTCTCTGAGGGATTTTGTCCCCTCTTCCTCCCCCCTTACTCCCCAGAAATTTAAATAAAGTATTTTTCTCCCGTGACATATATAGCTGTAATGGAAATGTTAAGACAGGTATGAATGGCAGAATAAAGATACCATCTTGGTATGGAAACACCAGGAGGAACAGCAGAAGGACTGTAATGCTGATGGCACCTAGATAAGCAGGTCATCAAGATCTTAGGACAGCTACATGCAGCTTCTCAGGAAACCAGGAAAACAGAGGAGAAGATAAAACACGGGTCAGCCAGTATTCAGACTAAGCAAAGATTCAAGCCCCTGACAGGGGGTAAAGGACAGTGAACAACTCCTAACCTACAGAGGTGGTACAGGGTGAAGAAACAAAAACCTTAATCACTTTCATCTCCTAAAGGACACAAAAGAGTCCATTCATTACTAGTGTGTGGTCACCAAACCAAGAACCCTCAAGACATGGTAAGGATTTCAAAGCCAAGGTTACTTGCCTTCTATGTAAACCCAAGGAGTCTTGGTAGGCCACCAGGATACAAGCACACTGGTGTCTAAATTTGGACATGTCTTGGCACTTACAAGTATGTGGGTATGAGAGAGAGAGAGAGAAAGAGAGAAAGCAGTTTTGTTTTACAATAAAATCACTTTCCCCTCCTATAAAGTCTCAGCAAGGAGCTCTGCTTACACTGCTGGCATAAATTTGGAGCATTCCAACATTATCTTCTCTGTGAGTACACAGAATACTCACCATTACAGGGTATATTTCTTAGCTTTTAAACAAGGCTTTCTTTACATCAGCTGTATGCAAAAACATTCATTTGTACCACTTCCTATCATCATTTACACCATAATCGAAGGGGAGAAACAGTGGCACTTACAAAGCATTTATGGAATCAGTTCATACTTTACTCCTCAGTTCTTTTTAGAAAATACACAAATACAGATTTCTGGGCTGAACAGGGCATTGCATCTCATCTGGGTTATTTATCCAAAAATGTCTGGCTTACTTAAGACATTTCCCTCCTCCTCTACCCTCTGCTCCAAGGATCAGCAATAAAGCTCAAAGTCCTTTGCTGAAAACCGGTGTAACTCAGATGACCTTATACTCCTCAGAATACTGAACTCCTGGAGAACAGACAAAGATGCTGACTCTTGAAAAGTCTTAGGAAGGTAGCAAAAGTGATACAACAAAAAAAGCAAAATGCCTACAGCACCTGATACCATATTTTCCGACTGATTTCCAGCCAAGTACTAAACAAGCCTAATATTGACTTGCATCTGAAATCAGGCAAGAGATGCTGCATTTGAATATATGTAGTAGTATAAAATTCATATATATATATGTACTTAAACGTGCGTGTGTGTGTGTAAAATTATAACAAATTAACTATCTATTATATATGTTATACACTCTATTTATAAAATGTATATTGTATGTATGCTTTTAAATGCGCACATTAATCGTCTAGTAAAAGGGCTTGCAACATGTTTCTAAATGGTAATGATCCTTCTCATCCCCCCAAGTTTATTTATGTTCTTGCTTAGAAAGATTAGAAAGCTTCAAGATACAATTTCAACTCATTTCTTACATGTTTTGCATGATTAGTAGTAAGGCTGAATGACTGACTTTTGTACTTAAGTTTGGCCTCTCTTCTAAGCTTCCAACCAAGCTGCACTCTCAGATATCAGAAGGAATACTTTCACATTCACTAGACAGTTTAAAACAGTTATATGAGTACCTTTCTCCACTCTTCCTCTGAATGTTCTGTAATTCTACTGACACTAGGCCCCCAAAACACAAGCATGTAAAATTTCAAAAGTCTAGCTCAAAAATAACAGAGGAATCAATTGTGTCACATTGCTCAATGTCTGAAATCTGATAAAAATGACAGATGATCTTTTAGCAATCTTCAATCGAAGGATCAGATTTGGGATCTTTTATATACTCAGCAGCCCATAATAAATGAGTATACCAAATTAAAAGATTCTGTCTCATTGGGACATAGAAATGAATTGTGTCGGGATGTTCAAAGCATCTGTATTATGCAGATAATACTCATTCATACCTAGGAAGCTGAAGACAGTTGACAGAGTCTGGTTTTTCCAGAGATCCATTATTATCCATTCCAAAAATACTGCAGTTTTTAGCAAAATACTGCCAGTCTTCCCAGTTTAGATCATCTCTTTTTTTCCTTTCAATTCTTACTGCTTCAGGGTGTGGGCTAAAGAACTGCAGTATAATATAGAATACCTATAAGAAGATAACAAATTTATAAACCAATATGAATGGCTAAGTTGTAAAGCAATGAGAATCTAAACTTTTTTTTTCCTTGTGACAATATAGTTTGCTTTACCACTCAGACAGAAAAAGAACCAATATCTCAGTTCAGATACTTCCAATGAAAAACAAAGACAACCTTCTTTGTTAAACAAGCTCTTTGATCTCTCACACAACTGAAGTGTTGAAACAGAACTCCACTGCTTCTTGAAGATCATTTGAAAATGCACTACAAAGTCACATCCATAATTTTTTACAGTAGTATTATTTTGGCAAAAATGAAGGACATAGCTTTGTGTTGCCAAATATTTGATGACATACAATTTGATCATACCTGTCTGATAACAGTTAAATTTAACTTTTTTTTTTTTTTCAGATCTCCCTATTTTTAGCTTGGAAACTCATCAAATACCCTGTATTGTATTAAAGAGCACTTCCTCCAGCATACTGCTTGTACAGAAATGTGTATGTGTTAAATAAGCCGTCTTAGAACTTCACAGGCATTTGAACATGCTTTTAACTAAAGGACTAATTCTTACTTATGTAGTCAAAAGCCATCGTCATATTCTTTCCCTTCTCCCCATTAACGACAAAAAATAAAAAAATATAAGCTAGCAAGAATACATGGAAATTTGTTATAGCCCCAATTGTGAATGCAGCCTCACTACTGATATGACCCTCTTCTCTTTCCAAGACATCCTGACACTCTTCATCTGCATAGTGGAGTGTTAGGGGCAATCTGGCTTCTTCAGGAACCTTGCCTGCTTATTGCATTCTCCTTCTATATTTCTCAGGAAACTAAACTACCACCTCCAGAACATCTACAAAACAGAAATCCCCTCTGATATGTCAGTGTGATGAAGATACATTAAATTGCATTTGACTGCAGTCAGCGTTCTACCAGAAGCTATAAAACAAGCACCTCAAGTTTTAACAGAAATCAAAATCTAAGTTGAAATTTACAGAAGTGGAGTTAAAAGAGAGCAACCAATTTCTACATATCGGTGTCTTCACATAGGATATCCACACTGGGATATCAATTCTAGATTACAGCTTGTAACAACAGCCAAGGCACATCAAAAGAGAATGACAAGAACCATAAGGCATTTTGTTGCATTTTGCATTGTTTCACACTGATAAAGGAAGTTTTCTTCCTGTTCTCCTAAGGACAAAGCCATAAAGCATAAGGTATAAATTTTCTCAAAAGTATAATAAACTGTCTACAAAAATCTTTTCCTACTTTTGGTTTAATAAATAGCAAATGTAATATTTTCATTACCTGATACTGTCCATTTTGTAAATCTATTGTGATAGAAACACCATGATCCAGACCTGCAGTATTAGCAAACACAGATGAAATCCAGGTGGTCCCAATGTCATCATCATTGATGTAATACAGAGGATGGGCTTCTGCATCCAGCCTCAGCACTCTGTCATTAGTGGTATCATCCGCACCATTAGGAATGCAGTACCTCTGTATCAATGGGTGTACCCGGGGATGACTTCCAGGACAGCGGCAGTCAGACTGGGTATGTAGATGAGGAAATTTTCCAGAGAATACTTCCAAAATGTCTCTGTCACAGCATATGAAAAAGTAATCATATACATGATAGAAAAGAGCAAGTGCCACATTGTGCCTCTAGGCTCACAGATTAACCAAAAATTCAGCTTAGATTACAGTAGAAGCCCTAAAGGCCTGGTTTCATCTCACATAAATGGAGCAATCAGCTAGGAATCAGGCCAGTCAGGGTCCCTACGTAATGAATGGTAGGCAGCAGGCACCTTCAGAAGGTGTCTATGAAGAAGCACTCTGGAGTCATTTTCATCGCTCCACAGACGTACATGGAGCTCCACAGACATATATGGAGCCAAGCAAAATTAGCTCCTTGTTGGGGTGCGTGTCTAAAGGTAGGTAGGATGAATCCAATCCTTAGACACAAAGACAAAAACTCTTGATGTCTTCTTATGGTATCATGTCTGACTCCGATCACTGATCTGGACACTGTTCTCAAGCATACCATAGGATTGGCATATCACCTTTAACCATAGATGAGATGACTGTTTGCACACAAAATCCTTCAAAAACACCAGCTTTAGAAATATCACATTGCACCTTAGAAAACCTAGATAGAAATATTTTCGCTTTTAACTAACTTTAATACAAATGCCTGCTTCTTTAGCTGCCCCAGGCTGTGATCACTCTTGTTGCTTCTTACAGCCCACGCCAAACCCATTGAGTCACTTTAATTCCCTCTGACATCAGCAACTGGAAGAGATACATAGATAGGTAGGTAGGCAAGAAGACAGATGTGTGAACGACATGGGCAGGTTACCTAAACTTTTATCTGCTCATCTCTGGTGTAACAGAAAGGTTTTGTGGCCCTGGAAGGTACTGAATTCCTAAATTAAAAACCTCTTACATTTCACATTTTCCTGCTTTATCAGTAAGAACATAATTATTGTATATTTATTAAGCAAATAAATGCTTGCTAGCTGTCACTACAAATTCCACAGAATCCAAACTTACAGGACCATTTAGACAGTCATAGATTTAAATTATTTCATATGCAGGCAAGGCTTCCTTTCGCAGTTTATCCCAGATAAACAATTTGGACCAAGTTATTTGTGGATAGAAAACTACATCTACAAAGACATCCTTAGGTCACATCACTTTGTAAAACACCTTATCTTTCAATATTTAAACTTTATTCATTTCACTGACTCAAACTGTAGTTCAAAGGACTTGACAAGCATTGCTCTGAAAGAATACAACCAACATGATTTTCATATAACTTGGAATTCAGATTCATATTAATGCTTTAAATTCACAGAAGCTCAGTTCATCGTAATATCCTGCAGACAGCTGAGCTCCTAGGAAACTGCTCTATATCTTATTGAAAGACTATCACTAAGTAGCCTAAAGGTCTGCACTCATGAGTGTCATTGTGCGTAGCCTACCCAGAAGCACCATGCAGACAAATAGGACCTGACTACTTCTGGCCAGCTTGAACTGACTAGATTAATCCAGCATGAGCTGGGTAACAAAGGTAACAGCTCTTTGTAATGCGCTAGGAAGGGAGGCTGGAGGGCAGCAGAAATTGCAGTGGCAACTGTAATTTGGCTTCAGGGATGCAGGAAATCAAAGCAATTGCCCAGGGCTATGTGGGCTGAGCTAGCGAAGTCATTGGCAGCTTATGGTGACAGTCTAATATAGAAAGCAATGAGCAGTTAAGACAATAGCACCTCTGGGTAGGAGGTGTGTGCGTGGGGTGGGGGAAGCATCCAGAATACATGACATGGATGTCTGACACCATGGGGAAGCTGAAACCAGAGGAAAGGAACTGCTACGCACAGGAGCCAAGCTTGCAGCCACCATGCCAGCACGCTGACCAGTTGGGAGTGCCTGTCCTCTTCACTTGGATCATGAGTATTAAAGTGGTCTAAACTGGACTGGCCCGCTATGCTTCCTTCCTCGCCCCACAGCTTACATGGAGGTCTGGGAAAGCTTGGCAGGTCTCATATGGCAGCACTAAGGTTATCAGCACATGCTATTATGTCAGAATTATGAGTTGATAACACCTAGATAATTTATAAGCATTGAAATCTAGCAATCGGATCTACTCTCTGCAAGAACACTTACTAAGTCAGGTTGTGACAGGTACAACAAGGAAAGCACACATTTATTACTGAGAGTTGAGTTTTACTACATATATATTACGTATACTAGCTATATTTAAACAACAGTTCAAAAGTAAAACACATTAAATTGTTGAATTTATTTTAATTCAAGATTTTTTAGATTAAAAGTCATCTTTAAAATGAATTTCAGTAAACTACATCACCATAAGCAATCAACTAAAGGAGACACCAGGAAAGCATTATACTTTAGGAAATAACCATATTGTTATCTATTCTTTGTTCTCATCACACTTCTAGTTTTTTACAAAACTAAAGGTTCTTTACCTGTTTGTAAGTGCCACTGGGTAAAATCGAAAATCTTGCATTCTTCCAACAAATTGCTCTAAACCTAAGAAAATATACTATAAATAAGTAATCCATTGACCAGAAGGCAGCTTTGCACTGCATGAGAACACTTTTAATTCAGTACTTCGAGATCTCTTGCACAATTACCCCTCCTGAATGAAACCATCTTGGACCTGGACAAAACTATAGAGGGCAGTGACTTAATTTTTTTGATAAAGAAGAATGATTTATAATAACTTTGTAAGAACATTTTGTACCTATCTCTTTTCTGATTAGAGAGGTGGCACAAGGATCGGCTCATTAGACAGAAGTAATGAGCCAGTCCATGTGCCACCTCTAATTAGAGAAGAGATACAGTAGGTACAACTGTACCTATCAATTTATACAATAAAGACAGAAAGCATTTTTTAAATGTTCCTTTCTTTTATACATTTATTAGTTATTCAGTATTCAGAATCAAAATCACAACAAAACACATTTCCAGATACAGCCTTTAGAAATGGGGCACAGAATAACTCTCTCGCCCAAAGTACAATAAAGTTGTTTAAGGGACATATAGCTATATTCAGGAGTCAGCTTCAAATTCTGCATGTTTCTGAACAGCAATAGTCAGTGTTCTTGCATCTGCAGAGCCAAGAATTTGTGGAGAGCAGCAAAACATCCCCCAGCTGTTCTGCAATAATCATGCCATAGTACACACAAAATTCTAGATGTAGGTGAAGAGTAACACTATCAGGCATTACTAGAGGCTGAGGGGTTCTCATTCTGCTAGTCATTTATGTGAGTACTGATAGAACCGAAGAACTTGAACAGCCAGAAGTCTTCAGCTCTATTCCTGATTCTGGAGAGGAGTGTAGTCTAGCGGCCATGCACAACCGCGTTCTGAAACAGTTTCTTATTTTTACTCAGAAAAACTATGATAGGAAATAAATGGAATGTGTCACTTTACAGACCTACATTTTGGAGAATGCAGGTGAATCTACCTATATGCACTAATACATAGAATAAATTAGGAACCTGCAGGATCACCTACCAAACTTCTCTCTCAGCCAATCTTTTGGGAAAGCTAATTGTACAGTAAAAATTTTCTCCTGCAGGAAGATATTACTTCTCAGCATATAGATAACTTAAAATGACTCACATACTTTTTCTTACCCATATCATGCACATCTTATTTTCAATATTCTAGTGCATTCCACTAAAATACTACAAGATTTACCTGCGAAACTTTGTCCAATTTGCAGTGTACTATCAGCATCAGTATCTGCAACTGTTCCCACAAGAGTCCTTGAATCAAAAGGTGTGTTGTCATCTTCCCAGCCATTCAAGAAGAAACTAATTCTGCTGTGATGCACCTATAAAATCAATGCAAACAGGCAAACATATGCTTCATTATGCAATCACTGATTTCTCTATACACTGCATCTATCACTGATTAATCGTTAACATTACTTCAACCTACTTGCTGTGTGTCTTTATTTTCGGTGCCTACCGAAAGTAGATGATGATACCTCTTTTTGGTCTGTCCATTAGCCATCCAGTTAATAAGATCATCACTCAGATGCACAGAGTATAACACTTCTACAGTGGTTAAATCAAAGACTCTACGGTACAGTGATCTGGTGGGGAGGGGGAAGAGAGGAAAAGGAGAAGGGTCTGTTTCACAAGGTACGAGGCCAGTTACAGCTACATCACCACTTCAGGCCATGGGCACACATGTATGAGAAGAGTTCTGACAGCTATATAACATCAGCTCATACAGGCCTCAAGGGGCTACCTACCACACTCAGGATAACCAAATGCAGCATGTTGCAGCCAAGCCTCACAACCCTCCAAAACGCCTCCCTAACCCCAGCACGTATCTTTCTACAAGGGCTAACCCCAGCACGTATCTTTCTACAAGGGCTGAAGGGAAACGGTATAGGAACTGGCTACATCTGCTTTACACCCACTGGGTAATTCCTTTACACCAAGGGAACCCTTGGCTAGGAATAAGCACTCAGCCAGCACCCCAGGGTACTGTTTCCTGCAAGCGTTCCCTTCCCTGCCAATTCATTTTAAATTTGAGCTAACATTCATAGAAATACTTTATGGCATTCTCCCAGCTCCACAAAGTCACAAGATGCTGAGCTTTTACAAAGTACTTTTTGCATTAAAAATCCTCATGTTTGGGTCACATAAAATTAGAAAAAGTTTAATCATATGGGAGTGCCTTTCAGCCTTACATTTTATGAAATTCAATACTTATTTAAAAATACAGGCACATACAAAATGAAAACTGAAGGCATTGTGGCTACAGTCAGCTTCCCATTAATGAAGTTAATTATAGAAACTAAGTTCAATTTGTTCAAAACTTTTGAACTCTGTTGAATGGTTTACTGAATAATGTCCTTTATGTGTTTTATTTGTAAAACGAAAATTACTTGATTTTTAGCAATATTTAGCTTGCATAAGGCTTATTTCACAAGAGCTTGGTAGCCTTCAGATTTTGAAACATCGTTTTGTTGTTGCAAATTTACAGAGCATTATTTCCATTTTGCAGATATGGATGCCTGGTGAATTGTGTCTACAGAGGCCAAATAAAACCAGAGTGCTTTAGTCTGTCTTGATACCCACACTAATCAAAACAAAATAAACCTGGAATGATTGCTTCCATAAGAACAATATGTATGTGAGAACAAACAGAAGGTTTACAAGCCAGAATAATTTGTTGCAAAGAGGAAAGCCAGAACCTGAAAAAAAACCCCAGTTCTAAAACCACAACACTATTCCACCAATAAAGTCTTTTAAATTTCAGACCAAGATAAACGGACACAGCTATCTGTAAATCTGAGCTCAGATGATCAGCATCAGTGCCTCAGGCAACATGAGTCTATCTGTATTTTAAGAAAGAAAACATGAAATGAGATGGAGGTTTTTGTATGGATTTTTTTTTTATATTTAGCCTTCACACAAAATTGTAGAGATGAATTTTTCTCCTTAAATTGCACTTTCAAACATACGCATGCATGCTGAGCTTTATTGCCATTTCCAGATTCAGTCAATATTTCCCAAATTTAGACAGGAATATTTATTGCTCTTCCACTGATGGAAATTTGAAGGCTATTATCATAATTACTAAGCCTTGAGATTTGTTAAAAAAGTTATTGCATATGAGTTTCACCACTCAAAATACATCTCTCCATTTCAAATTATCTTTTGTGTTGACACATCAATGACCTAAATACAACAGTTTTTTATTTAATTTTAATTCAAAGCCCTCTAAAGATCCGATGCCCTATTTGCAAGAGCCTGAGTATATGGGTATATGGTGGTTACATTGCATTTTCTTTCTGCATCACATTTTTTACAGCCTGTTACTGTCATTTGGTGTTTGACTGTTATCATCATAAAAGACACAGGCTTTTCTACTTTGTTATTTGTAGCATTATCTCATGTTTTACAACATCTTTGCACAACATGCCCGCACATGAAATATAACTAGTGAAAAGTTCTCAGTGGTATTAATGCATAAAAAAGAATGTGGTTCCATCTCTACTGTCTTTACCCAGCCAAAAGCTGATGAACAGCCAATTTTCCTTTATCACATTAGCACAGCCATGAGGGAAACACATTTGTTCTAGTCAGCTACACTAAAGATACTATTACCAATCTAACATATACATGTTTTATATCAGCAGTATTCTCAGAGTATGAGGGAGCCAACAATATATTAACACTAGCATGACAGTTTATTTAAGAAAAGAAAATTGTCTCTGTAGAGGGACAGAAGTTAGAAATGTATGGCTAAAGCTCAGTGTCACTGGTCTAATAAAGGTAATAATTCTTAAGCTTTCTTTATAGCAGGTAACACTCCTGTGGCAGCTCTGTCATATCATTCAAATAAAAATGTTGTCTTTTACAAGTTTAAGAGTACCTTTATTTTCAGTCAGGTATGAAGCATGTTACCGCTTTCCTGTTTTCACTGTAAAACATTTGTAAGTGGAATTCAGAAAAGGGCTCGCTCATCCCCACCAGCTCCTTGCAAACCTACTGTCTCAGCTGCAGCTTCTGCAGGACCCGATTCTGCCTCCCCCAGTGGTAAGCAAAATGCTCGCCTTCCTGCACCCTCACTAAAATCAGTGGGACTATTTCTGACTTGAGTAACAGAACTGGGCCCTAAATGACCAGGTATTTTTACTTGTTGAAAATAGGTGACTAATGACAATTTTAAATCTCCCTCCCCCCTCCCCCACCACCAATCTCTTTGTATTAAATAGGATTTAGAATAGTTGGGTTTAATATAGCACATCCCCAAGGTAGCCCTAAGCACTTTACAATGCTGAATTGGATATCAGTAGTGCAGTGACTGTGTAAGGCAAAGGCAGCAGTCATTATGCATTTGGCAGTAGCTCAATGTAACGATCCCCCTGCTGGTTATTAAAGGGGGTATGAATATCTGACATGGGAAGAAAAGTGTAGGAGGGAAACCATGTGTGGTATAAAAAAATCCCAGCGGCTCTCCGCTGTGGGAGGAGAGGAATGTCTCAAAGTTTGGTGTCAGTTTAGACTAAGCTAAATAAGAAGGAAGGCTGGAACCGAACCTGCTGTTTGATGTGGTTATTTAAGGTCTTCTGACCGTTAGCACTAAATTGCATACAATGCCACGGAAATAAAATATGAATTTCACTCCTGACTAGGACAACAGGATTATTCTTCTGTTGTCTTTATCAATAACATTCTATAGGAATTTGCCCAAGAGAGTAATAGGAGATGGGTGCGAAAGGCTGGCCTCATGGTTGCGCAGAGCCTGGGACAGACCAGAAGCCTGGGACATCAGCGCTCTAATCCCAGCTCTAAAGCCATCTCTCCCTCCCATGCTTCCCCATCTGTCAGATACTTAGCAAATCACCTCACAGAGAGGTGGCAAGGATTAGTTACTAAGATAAATTCACTCTGCAACTACATTAGCCTCTGCCAATGCAGAGCGTAGTACCAATCCAAGCAATGGAAAATCCATTTGATGGTGAACTGAGATGGTGAAAGATATCCACAATCTCTCCTCTAATAGCATTCTTGTTATGATCCAGAAAAGTTTCAAAGATGAGAGGTGCTGGGCCAATGAGCTGACAGGCAAGTTCCTTCAGTGCATCCCAGATGAAGCTCTTATGGTCCTCAGTCACAAGCAAATTGACCATCAGAGCCAGCAATACCAAATTCAACCACTTCCCACCTAGGAAAAATTCGCTACCCTGTGGGTCGCTGTAGTGTAGAATGAAGGAGGACACACTGAAGCACAAGCTACTGCTTATAAAATGAGATAGAGACAGAAAAGGCATTACAACTGTTTATTTTCTCACTTAAAGACCTGTGCTACTCAGAACCTACCCACGACAGAACAATTAAATTTAACATGAATTTTGCCACTTGGTTTGGATCAGGCAGATCTGTCACGTAAACAAAAGCCAGTATTTTCCTGTATTGACTGCAAACAGAAACTTCCACTATACTGCAGTAATCTGTTTGGCAAAAAAGAAGCATCACAACCGAATACTGCACTTCAGAGCAGCTGAACTGGCTAAGACTGAGGGATGAACTGTGGCAAAAAAGCAGAAACAGGGGAGCATATAGAAGCAGAATAAGTACATATGATACTGCTCTTGAATACTCTTTGAACCTCAGACGACCAGCAGCTCAGAGACTTCATCAGCCAGCCATGGTTTCTATACATTTAGTAGCTTTTCATGGATTTCTTTTGCATGATTTTGTATAGCTGCTCCTTGAATGAAACCTTCTTCCCCCAAAGGCACCCCCTATATAGATCGATTCAAGTTTTTTCTTTCTCTCTTTTTTTAAGCTTTGAACTGTAGCCTTACCTATAGTTATAAAGTATGATGGTATAATAGATGTATAAAAAACAGATATAAATAAACTAATAGGTATAATGAAAATATTTAGTATTTCAATAAAAAAATATCAATATGCTTTTCAAAAAAATGTAACACTCCATTAACACAGAGGCAGAACACATTTTAGATACCAAAAGACACACTTCTATTCATTCTCCTTTTTTGAGTTGCAATGGCACTTTCCAAGTCCACTGCAATTTGGAGGAATTCTGAGACCCCCATCTACAAAGTTTTGGTGTTCAGGTAATAACATACACATGTAGTACATTGCAACATATATGTGTGATATCTGGCACATTTAAGCAACACACATGTCTCCTTCACACGCATTAATCATCCTATTATCAAAATGTCTTGTTACATACATACAAGGACAACTGAGACAATTTGAGTCTTTTTCACGTAGAACTGAATTGCATCATTTCAGCCAAAATAAATGAAGTTAAATAAGTGAATTCTTCTTCAGT